GTTTAATAAAAATGAAAAATGAGAAATAAAAACATATAATATATACGCCGACGGTATCCCCGTCGGCATAGAGAGCCCATGTGTTTTTTGCTGAATAAAAAAAGGTTTACAAGCTATGCCGACGGCCTCCGTCGGGGCCGTCGGCATAGTGATGACGGCGTCAACCCCTCGTCTGGACCTAGGTCGGTGGACCCACCTGTGTGCCGACGACGGCTCTCTGCCGACGGCCCCCGTCGGCATAGTGGAAGATATGCCGACGGCCTTCCTACACCGACGACCCCCGTTAGCATATATGGAGGTTTGCCGACGGCTTTAATACGCCTACGGCATTTTCTCGGCCGTCGGCATACCATGATCTATGCCGACGGGGGCCGTCAGCATAGAAAAGGCCGTCGGCAGCAGCCGTTATTCTGGTAGTGCATGATGCACCCGTCGAGCGTCCAGAGGACGGGGGCCGCGTCCCAGAACTTGCCAGCAAGGAGCTCGTCGCTGATGTGCATGCTGCGGAAGCCCCAGTCGTCCTCTAGCACCAGCATCACGCGCCACACCGCGCCGATGTGCGCCGCTCCGGTGAGGTACGCGTCGCCGCCCAGCAGAAGCGCCACTTGCGGCAGCTGCACGCCGATATCCTCGCTCGGAGCAGGGGCGGCGAGAAGGTGGTGGTGCGCGAGCCAGGCGGTGGCGCCGAAGAGGGCGGTGTAGCCGAGGAGGAGGAGGAAGGCGTCGAAGGTGGTGACCACGAGGCGCCAGCCAACCTTGAGCGCGCGCGGCTCTGCGGGAGTTGCCTTGGAAGGTCGACGCGTGGCCGCTGGCGAGGAACCTGGGGACGGTGTGGAGCTCACGGGCGATGGAGCGGGCGTCGCGGTCGTCGACGAAGCCGTAGCGCGGGGCGGCGGAGTGGACGAGGTAGGCGGCGAAGCTGAGTGACGGGAGGACGACGCAGAAGAGGCAGGCGGCCTCTACGAGGAAGAAGGGGCCCCAAATCGCGGCGAGGCGGAGGAAGCCGGCTCCGGCGTCGGAGGCAGCGACAACATGGGAGAAGAGGGCGCGGGAGATGACGACGTGGGCGAGCCTGGATAGGGAGAGCCCGACCATCTCGCCGGCCATGGAGGCGAAGCCCGGGCGGCGGGAGCGGATGACGGCGAAGGTCTCGCGGCAGATGCCGGCGAGCCCAAGAGCCCCGAGAGCAGCAGCATCTGGGCGTTGCTCCATGGAGCAGCTGCTGCTGAGGAAGAGAGAGGAGCTCAAGCAGTGCGGAAACCTCGAGCAAAGGGGGCAAAGTAAGAGCATCTCCAACAGGCGCAGGTCGCGCCGCGCGCAAAAAACACGGCGCGTTGCGCCCGCTCCAGCAGCCGCGTTAAAATGCAGCGCGCGCGCGCCGCTCAGCAGCGCGCGCGCTCATTATAGGCTATTGGAAAATAGATAGATTGCATAGATTTTAACGATACAAAGGTATTTTACATCGGAAACATAGATTGCATAATAATTAAAAATGACAAACGATAAAACACGAGATAGATTGCATAAAAAAACTAGTCTAAGTCGCTATCATCACTATCGTCATCCTCCTCGGCGGTGTCGTTCGAGGTATCCAGCCAGATGTCCAACCACGGATCATCATCCGGCGTGAAGAACGACTGCCCACCTGCTTCAACGAGATCGGACTGCGCGTTCGCCAACGCCTTGCGCCGACGCCTGTCCAACCGCGCCTCGTGGCGCCTTCGCGTGTCCTCCTCGCGATGCCTTGCCTAGTAAGACTGCTCGTAGGCGACGTCCTCCGGGCGGCGGCGACGCCACTCCGCCATGACCCGCTCGTCCTCCTGGGCGACGAGGAGGCGGCGCTGCCGCTCGGCGTGCTCCGCACAGTCTTGTGCCGTGTTCAGACGCGGCGGCGGGGTACGGTCGAGCGCTTGCTGAAGCGTGTAGACATCCTAGAAGTTCATCTGGCCGTGCGGCCGGCCTAGGCGCCACGCCGCCGCGTCGTACGCACGGCTGGCCTCGCGCGCCGTCCCGTACGTGCCGAGGCCGAGCCGGAGATCGCCGGAGCATATCTCCGCGTAGTAGCCGCCGTTGGGGCGCAGGCGGACGCCGCGGTAGCCGGACGCTCCTCAGCGGCATGGCGGCGCGTCGATGGCGGGGCGCTGGAGCGGCGCGTGGCAGAGAGAGAGAGGAAAAGGAGAAGATGAGACGTGGAGAGGCGCGTGGCGCGTGCCGCACTTTATAGGCGCGCGGGAAGCGGCACGCAAAAGATGGCGCGCGAGCTAGCGCCTTTTCGCGCGCGCAAGCGGTTTCTGCGTGCGTGGTTTTCCCGCCGCCGCTGAAGCGCGGCAAAACGCCCCCCGCGCGCTAAAGGCTGCGTTTACCACGCGTGCGTCGTTTCACGCGGCTGTTGAAGATGCTCTAAGGAAGAAGGACAACGGATCGACTGACCAACAGAAAAGGCACACGCGTAAGCTGGCTATATATACACATTTTCGATCAATTTCACTTGAGCAGTGCTATGCAAACCACAGTCTGCCGATGATGTTTGGACGATAAGCCTTTCAAGCCGTTCATTCATGGCAACAAACGGGCGCCAACCACACGATGGCCATCGTGCAGTGGTCGTCCATGCAATTCATCGTGTGTAGAGCAGTTTTGATTTCACTTACTGTACCAGTAGATTTCTTTTAGGCAATCTCACTGGGCTACTTATGTATGAGACTAACTAGTCCAAACGTGTTAAAAAAAGTGTGCAAATTTAGCTAAAGGTGACCACAATTTTCAACTTTAATGCATTGTAATTTTTAACTTTAATGCATTTGTTATACGTGAATATTGGTAATAATATCAGGAAAAGAACATCCTTCTGTGCTTCCAGACATGTTGAACTCCAGGAAACTTTGTAAATTTTGAAAAGGAACTGAGACGGGTGCGAATATTGGTTGAAAGTTAAATAAAGTGACAAATTATGAAGAGATGATCCGTGTGTGATCCATCATCCACTTGCCATTTTTTTCGTGGCCAATGCATCTTTTTAGACCATTTACAGTTAGGCTCCTCAAATGCCCTATATACTTCCGGGCGGACATCCCGGTCAGTGATTGATCACAAAATCGTGACCTAGCTGGCCACTCAAACCGGCCCTATATGTCTAGCTGACCGACACCCCTGATATCTAGCTCGTATCTGCAGTGGATATGAGAAGGCCTAGGCGCATCCGCCATCTCGGAACAGACAGACCGAACCCACCCCAAATTTCATCAAATTGACCAACTCCACTAAATCCACCACCATCCTCTAGCGCATGTACTTTTTTTCCGCATCCATGCCGTTGCCGTCCTCCACCTTTGCTTTCTCATCCGCGTTGCCGCCCCCATTCACTGCCCTAGATGTCATCACTAGGTACCCCGCCCCTCACGGACAACATGGATGATGCCTTGACATCATCCATGGCGGTCCCGTCCATGGGGATGAGCTGCAACACAAAGAACTTCGCCAAGAGTGAGCGACAAAGGAAGCAACACGAGCGGAACGCGGCCGGGGTTGTGGACATCAATGAGGATTTGTCCCCTTCACCGCACCAGCCCGCCCCGCGTACGTCCACTCTGCCGCACACAAGGAAGCCACCATCCATCCGGCATGTGAATATAAGGTGTATTGATTTTCGTGCAAGTCAACCATTTAAATGTTTGACCAAGATCATAGAATAAAATAAACAACATCTGGAATACCTAATAGATAAAATATGAAACTACTTTTCATGATGAATCAAATAATACAAATTTCGTGTTGTGAATATTGATATACTTTTCTAAAAACTGGGTCAAACATGCACTCGTTTGACCTTAGAAAAAACAAATACACCTTACATAAAAAAGCGGAGGAAGTACGATTGGATGCATTTTACAAACAAGGAATGTAATATTGTGGACAGTATTCAGTATTCACTTGTCAAGGTGGTGCACACATTTGGTGATGTGCAGGACTAGCGCCCATGCATGATGTGTTACAAGTCTGCATCACAAAAAAAACATTTCAGCGTCTAAATTTCTGGTGCATATAGCTATCTACAGTAGTGAGTAGTGTGATCCACCTCCCGTGGTGCAATCTGCAATGCTGATCTTGGCAAAGCCGTGGGCTGGACCATGCCCCGTCTCAGGTCGCCGTCTGTGCCTCTGTGGCGCACGACAGAGACACCACCGGCACAGCACGGCACGGCGCGCATGTGATCGATCCCCTTTGTGGCGACGGACTGCTCGAGCCATATTATTGATTACCCCACATCGATGGCCATCGATGGCTACTCACAAAACTGTGATAGCAGGCGTGGACGGCGACTGTTTTGAGGCTAAAAATGCCATCCCCTTTTGACGATCTGCATCACCCAGTGACAAGGCGGGTCGGTGAGGAACAGTGCTTTCCTGTCGTCCAAAAGGACTTGATGATGCTCTACAACTCCTGTTGTGCATTCAGTTGCTACTACTTGTCATGCTTCAGCAGAATGACCGACCATCAACTGTTGATTTTGCAAAACATCAATGCACATTCGGTTTCGGACAAATTCAGCTGGAGCTCAGCATGATCTCAAATTTCATGCAACACAATACAGCTTAACAACCACAAGAAAACATAGCATAGATAGATAGAAGTAAAAAAAAAAAAACAAGGCATCACCAGAGGCCAACTTTTGGGTTTGGAATGAAATTCGACCAATTAGTCTCAAATCACAAATTCATGGTACTGACACACACAAACATATCATAAATATATAGAAAATAAAAACAACGCATCACCAGAGGCCGACTTTTGCGTTTGGAATGGTAAAATTCGACCAACTAGTCTCAAATCACAAATTCAGAGTACTTCTCAAATGACAACAGCAACCAAACTTCCTAAACTTCTCCTGATCAGAACCGCCCGTTTCAACCGTCGAATAACGATAATGCGAAAGCTAACGCGAAACCAAAAGTTTTTTAAATGTCGAGGCGGAAACGAGGACTCTGAATCTGGTGATAGCTTCAGGGCTCCTCCTGTTGTTGCTGAGGCTCTTGCCACACGTAGGTGGACGCATGGGCATGGCCCTGCTCTTGTACCTGAGGCTCTTGCCACACATAGGTAGACGGGCCACCGTATGCCATCGACGCACCTGCCACCTGCTGCTGCGGCGCATAGTAGTACGGGTATGCACCAGCTTGAGTCCCCATGGGCTGCTGCCCGGTCCTACGAAGCAGGACCCCATGCTTCGTCTCTTCTCTGGTAAACAAATCCAGCAGGAAGTCGTAATCGTCAGTCCTAGCCACAGCCGCGGCGATGTCACTCCTCTGCAGGACCCGGCGTTTGTCCTCCTCGGTGACCATCCATGACCTCGTCGTCATCTCCAGCGTGAACATCTCGCATGCTTTCGCGAAGAGCGCCGGAGCTTCTGCCGAGATCATGCGGACGTCCTCATCGGCCCTCATGATCTTCCTTATCCTGGTGGGTGGCAGGGGGTGGTTCTTCATGTCAGTCACCTGCTCGATCTCTGACCGCTGCTCGGCCCAGAGCTGCTGGAGCTGCCTCTGGAGCTGCTGCTGGAGCTGCAGCTGATACTCCTGCGACTGCTCGTACATAAGCTGCTCCTGAGCACTGAGCTGAGCTGGATTGCCAGGGAATTCTTGTGTTGGCTGTGAACCGGCAGGAGTGACATCACCCATTGGAGGCTGAGGTTGCGAAGTCGGTACCATGTGCACTGCTTGATCTTGCTTGCCCGAAAATCAATGGTCTTTCCGGCACTGTAAAAAAGAATAAAAATTACTATTAATTAGATCAATTATAAAGTAAAACAATGTGAAAAAAAATTGCAGCTCAATCATAAAGTAAGAAAATCTTTAAGACAGTTGGATAGTGCTAGCCTCTAGGTTACAAAATAAAATTTTGTGCAGAGCCTTTAGATGATTGTGAACATTTGTGCCTCTCTTAAAAGATCAGTTTCAAACAGGGTGCATTTATTTGTTAGGATCCTCGCAAAATGAAACATAATTATTTGCTAGTTCCAAAACTAAGATCAGTTCTGAGTAACAACACCAGAGCAGACATAGTTAAAAATATGCATGCACAGCCAAATATACACCAGCAAAATCAAACAAAGTAAACGGTTGACAAAGATCAATGGAATAAATCTGGCTACAAAGGCAACTGAGCCATTCTACAGCCATGTAAGCCACCACAAAATTAGCATCTTGTTTTCTGTTACATCTTAAGTGCAGTGCCCAAAAAGAGAATGACCTCTGGATAACATATAAGACGTGTTCCTATAACACATAAACAGCTTAGATTGCACAAGCAATCGATAGTGATAATGTGGTTTCTATCTCCAGGCATGCCCCGCAGGTGCTCCATAAAGCATATATAGCTAGAGAGTGGATAACTCAGTTGAATATTCCCACCAGATGGTTTCAAACAAAGAAAAAAAGAAAAGTAGATGGCGACAAGGGTGGGAACTGATCAAACGCAGCTGGATAATAGAAAAACCATATTCGCATCATAGCCATGTTAAGAACATAGATGAATATGTTTATTCAAAGAAGAGATACGAATACCAGCAGTGAACATGGATATACAGACAGAAATAAATAGAATATCTGAATCATGGTAAACCATTCCAACTATATATTCATGATATATAAAGATATTTTATACATACATATTAAGATGCATATTCTGGTATCAGTATCACCATCCGCACTCGTATCCCCTACAGAGATGGCATCATTATACGATCGAGGTTTCCAAAACCCCAACCTCCCAATTCATCTAGTAGATCCCGTGGGACCGTTTCGATCGATAGTTGAATACCAAGAATAAGATTTGAGATTGATAGTAATACAGATCTTAGGGTCGCGGTCATCCTACAACCAAAACATATGCTAACCTGAGAAGAATCGTAACTATCAGATCATGCCAACCATCGTTTTCTATACCTACTGGCATCAGCGATGAATTTTTGTTAGATCTATAACCTCCTAATTAGAAATTCAACAGCTGCTAACACCATATTGATATTTAGATCTAGAATTCTAGAGAATGGCCACTGCGAGCGGCGCTGTATCACAAAGATCTGAAATAGTTTGTACCAAACCAAATGACTAGACTTATGCAATCCAAAAAATACTGCATAACTTGATTGACATGTAAGTGAGAGAAATCAAACAGGCTTGTACATACCCGTCGAATACAGAATTCTTGTGCACCTCAGAAATTATCTTTCGATTAGCACAAAGCTCGGCAAAGAAAACTGTATTTATATACCTTGATGGCAAGAGCGGCAAAGACGGCACAGCTGTAGAACACGCGTGATTTATACATATTAATATGGAAATCAATTAAAGATATGGGCTGTCAAGATATGCATGATTTCCCTTTTTATAACTTTCTAGAGGTTTCCGGAAGAATAGTTTGATACATTTCCCAAGCATTGATTCGCCATACTCCGCAATAAAAGAATTACATTTATTACCGAAGATTCGCAACATCTTTGTTTTTAGATTTTCTAGGCAGATCCGCTTTAATCCCAGTGATGGGCACAGGTGTGGCACCAAGCTGTATATGACTGCACAGTTCCGGGTTTTTTTTCAGAAAGCGTTAGATGAGAAACTTGAGTTGGCAATGTAATGGATAAAAAACAAAGTAGTGCATGATGTATACAGATGATGATAATAGAAATTGTTACCTTGGCAGAGCACTAACTTTTGCAGAGTTCTTTAAATTCTAAAGTATGTTCTTTTCTTGATAATCAACCTGTTCTTCTTCTCCTCCCTCTATTGAGCAAAAGGATCAACACCAGGCTCTATCACAGACAAACATCCAATAGAACAGTAACAGATTGAGCAAACAGGTTTGAAAACGAATACATTTCACAACAAATTACTACATTGTTAGATTCAAGTGGTCGTAAATGAAAACTGCATCTGATATTAAAAAATAAACAGTGTACATAAGAAGAAGCACGCGGGCTGTTAAGCATTTATGTCATCACATGATAACCACTATGTGTACTCAGCACTGGGAAAGCTCGGGAAGATTACTAGTCTTGCCACGAAATAAATAAATAAATTCACCAGCAGTAGATAGAGAAGACAAGTTGCTTACCATCTGTGATTCTGGCTTCAATGATCGGATCGTCTCTATCGTCATTAACACGATCATAGCCATATAAGTCGGCTTCCACAAAGAAGTTTGCTCATCCCATGCACGCTTGTTCTTCTTGCGTTAGTAATCCCTGCAAGTATGTTTCTGTTACAGAAAGATTCAAGTTTATACACTTACAATAAAAGGCACTCATAAAGCCAGCAAAAGGAACAAGTTCACCTTTCGAATTTTGACATTGCAAAATGCTCTTACTTAGTAGGAGGCCTCAGCCTCGGTAATTGGAATAGCTTCCCTGCCTTTCCCATTCTTCGATATACCAACAACCATTGTATTCCATAGCAGCAAATCCTTGGCACAGACAGCATTGAAGAGTTTCCTGACATGCTTCAAGGAACCTAACTTACAATACATGTCAATGAGAGCAATGGCGACAATTATATCATCCTCAAACCCACGTTTATATACCAGCCCGTGGATTTGTGTGCCCTGCTCCATCAGACCAAAACAGAAGCTCCATCTCAGCACACTTGCAAAAGTGAACTCAGTTGGAAGAACGGCATTTCACAGAGCCATCCCAAAGAGGCCCAGAGCTTGCTCCATTAAACCACTTGTGGCATACACAATATCATCGCATTACATGTTTCTGAGTCCCAATTTGTTGGCTAATCCCTCGAAAAGCATAACGGCATCAAGCAATCTGACAGGCATGGACAACATGCCGATAACAGCACTATAGATGACAGAATTTGACAGAGTCCTGTTTCGACGCGAAGGGCCAAGAGCTGGTAACCCTCAGCCAAATCCTTGACATTTGTGCCATATGGTAAGCACCGTTGAGTTGGCACACTGCATTTGTCGACCAAAAACCCGTGGCTTCTAATCAACCGGAAACACTCAAACACTGAATTGCTCTGACTATCATCTTTGTACACTGACAAGACAGAATTCACTCAAACGATGCCCTGCTCATTCATACCCCAAAAGACGTGCACCGCGTGTTTGAAGAGGCCGGCGGCATGCCGATACATATCCGCAAGTGTGCTGCCGGTTACAGTGTTCTGTTGGGCAGAGCCGTGGCGTACATCAGCTGCAGCCTGCAAGAACCTTCCATCCCATGGGGAGCAGAGCAGACGCCCGATGAAACGGCAAACGGCAAACGGCAAAGGGCAGAGCCATGAGAAGCCGCTAGGCCTGACTCCTAGCTCCTTCATCATCTGCACAGCCGGAGGGCCTCATCGGTGCGTCCACCTCCAGCCTAGGCAGAGATCGTTGAGTTGTAGGAGACGGTGTCCTTGCGAGGCATTCCGTCGAACAGCTTGCGCGCCATCCGGACGGAGGTCACGGGCTGGAGCAGCGCGGCGAGGAGGATGTCGTGCGAGAAGCGGCTGGCTGCTGCGGCGCTGGGCGCGTGGGCTACCCGAGGACGCGGGCGTGGACGCCGCAGTGGCCGTCAGGGAGACGCAGCAGAGCATGGTCTGTACCGAGGGCGTGCGGGGGAGGAGCTGCCTGGCACACACAAACCGTGTGGTAGTTCTGCACTGATTTTTCCTTTCTGCATCTTGTTTTTTTTTTTGAGAAATGCATCTTGTATTTTCTGTAACTTTATTCATGCTTATAACAATTACAGGTACACTGATTTGGACCTCACATCTATAAAAATACAAAGCAAGTCCTATTACTAAGAATTGCAATAAAATCTTGGATGGGCGACTCAAGACGCATGCATCTTTTTCTTTTTTCTTTTTTTTTTGCGGGTGACATGCATCTTGTTATTCTTGTACACTGCAGGGCACCGGGCCGAATCTCGCTGCTGGCATGGCAGCACATGAGGCCCGTGACGTGCCCGGGCCGCGGCACACCTGGGCCGTGTTCGAACCGAAATCACTGATTTCATAGGTCACACAAAACCGTGCATTTTGCGAAAGCAAAACCTTGCATCTCAAAAAAAACTGTTTTTTTTCGTTTCGGAGAGGCATGGCCTCTCGTAAAAGCAAAACCGTGTCTCTCATGAAAAGAAATAAAAAGAAATGATGTTTTTTCTTGTTTTCGAAAGGCATGGCTGCGCTTCTCGCACAAGTAAAAACGTGCCTCTCACGAATGGAGAAAAAGAGAAAACAAGTTTTTTTTTGTTTTTGAGAGGCGCAGTTGTGCCTCTCGCGAAAACAAAACCATGCATATGATGAAAGCAAATCCGTACCTCTCGCGAGAGAAAAAAAGGAAATGCTTTTTTCGCGTAAAAAATTTCTTTTTGACGAAAAGCTAAGAAAGACCGATGAAAATCCGAAAAGCCAAAAAAAACATCTAAAATGCCAAAAACGTGTGCAGAAAAATAGAAAAACAAAATCCGAAGAGAGCATTCAGAACGCGATATGTGACTGCGGCTAAGAGCACACCAAATAGTGCACTCTCAGCCCACACAAGTGATCATTGGGAGGCTCCCGAAGGAGCGCTCCTCAACTAGTTACTATCTGCTCAAGCACCTGGCCGAGGTGGAATGTTTTTCTGAACTTGTTAACTTTTGAACAGCCCATAAGCCCCAAAACAACCTAAGAGTCGGTTACTTCCACGACACGTGATGCCTGGCTGGATGACGAGGTTGCTAAGTTAGCCTGGTCCAGGTGACCAATTCTGGGCGACAATTACTCAAAAAAAGGGTTTTTATCACTTTTGCCATTAGTTGTGTCACACTACTCACTTTCGCCATTAAAAGTTTTCACTATTCAAAAATGCCACTGTACCGTTAGGAACACACTCAGAAATGCCATTTTCTCACGTTACCGTCAGTCAAAGGGTCATTGACTGCGTGATATGACCGAAATGCCCCTGGTTCCATTACTTCCCGAACTGTGGGCCTGACATGTTACTCACTTTCGCCATTAAAAGTTTTCACTACTCAAAAATGCCATTATACCGTTAGGAACACACTCAGAAATGCCATTTTCTCACGTTACCGTCAGTCAAAGGGTCGTTGACTGCGTGATATGACCGAAATGCCCCTGGTTCCATTACTTCCCGAACTGTGGGCCTGACATGTCAGGGGCAGGGAAATAATTTTTTGATATAAAAATAGGCAACACAGGGGTTTGAACCCCAGACCTCCCGCTAGCCAATACACTCAAGGTCACCAGCTGACTAATCAACTGAGATACGCTACGTATCCTTACGTCTGGGGTTCGAACCCCTCTATTTGCTTGTGTGCTGAATGTTTTCAACCTTATGTACATGCGTCATGCTAATTTTTTAAGAGAAATTTAGAGAACCATTTGTTGCTGCTGTTGCGTGTACAACTCGAGTTTACTTGGTTTGTTAATAGCTATGTCCTATGCCTAGATGTCATGTAAGGATATGTAGCGTATCTCCATTGATTAGTCAACTGGTGACCTTGGATGTATTGGCTAGCGCGTGCGAGCGCCTCCGAGGAGGTCTGGGGTTCGAACCCCTGTATTGCCTATTTTTATATCCTAAAAATTATTTCCCTGCCCCTGACATGTTGGGCCCACAGTTCGGGAAGTAATGGAACCAGGGGCATTTTGGTCATATCGCGCGGTCAACGACCCTTTGACTGACGGTAACATGAGAAAATGGCATTTTTGAGTGTGTTTTTAACGAAACAGTGGCATTTTTTTAGTAGTGAAGACTTTTAGTGGCAAAAATGAATAGTGTGACACAGTTCGGGAAGTAATGGAACGAGGGGCATTTTGGTCATATCGCGCGGTCAACGACCCTTTGACTGACGGTAACATGAGAAAATGGCATTTTTGAGTGTGTTTTTAACGAAACAGTGGCATTTTTTTAGTAGTGAAGACTTTTAGTGGCAAAAATGAATAGTGTGACACAGTTCGGGAAGTAATGGAACGAGGGGCATTTTGGTCATATCGCGCGGTCAACGACCCTTTGACTGACGGTAACATGAGAAAATGGCATTTTTGAGTGTGTTTTTAACAAAACAGTGGCATTTTTTTAGTAGTGAAGACTTTTAGTGGCAAAAATGAATAGTGTGACACAACTAGTGGCAAAAGTGATAAAACCCCCCAAAAAATTCTGGGCGACAGGGTGTGCCTGGTGCATTAGCCGGGCAATAATCATGGCTGCTAATAATGAGGACACGAAATTCGAGGTGAATGAGAAGAAAACAGCGACAACTTAGATCCCACTAGGCCATGCCCTAAACCAAACACTCCTCCTATGCGCCTGGCCAGGCAAAAAAATTTGTGTTTCTTAGGCCCGATCCAGGCACCAAAATTTTCCAGGCATGTTGTCTAGAAAAACAACCAAACTTGCCCTAAAAGACTGAAAAGTATGCAGGAGCCATAAAAAACTCTAGAATCAAAGATGCTCACAGAAAAATAAGGCTCAAATAGGAAAAAGGCCACCAAGATGACGGCATGCAAGGGCTTGGTCTGCCATGATTTATGGATTTATCCCTTCTCCTAGTCCACAAGGACCCATATTCCAAATATTACTTCCTACTAGTAGAACGCCAGTACGTTGCTATGGGCTATAATGCATATACTTTAAGAAGGATGTCTGATCTGAACTTAAATATTATGCCTCTTAATAAAAAATTATGTGTCTTAGGATCTACTATAGGTTTGCTCACACTACTAGGGAAAACCTAGTAGTAGCGTGGGTTTAATGCCCTCTAGTAGCGCAGGCAGCCGCGCTACTAATAAGGTGCTACAGCTATTACTTAGCAGTAGCGCGTGCAACACGCGCTATTGCTAAGATATATAGCCGCAACGCTTGTCCACTACCGTGCTGCTGCTAATCTAGCTAGTAGTAGTGTGTTTACTATCCATCGCTACTAGTATTCTTTTTTTAGTGTATTTATACGCCGTTATACAAATTTTGATACAATACCAATTATGAGGTTTATATCTTTATGTCCATAACAGTGTGTCAAATGAAAGTGGATTAGGTGCAAGTGGAGGCAATATATGGTGCATGTCAAAAGTATACTACTAATTCAAACTTGATCTAGTTTGGACTAGTAGTACTTTCGATGTGCACCACATGTTGCCTCCACTTGAATCTATCTTCAAACTCATTCTAGCTAGCTAATCACCACCAACACTAGCTGTGGTAGCTATCTAATCACCACCAACACTAGCTAATAATAATAATCATAGTCATTACCACCAACACTAGCTATTTAATCATCATAGTCATAATGTAGCACATCATCATCTTCAAATTCATTTCTAGCTAGCTAATCACTCCTGCTACTCCCTCTCAGGTAAAATAACATAAAACATGTGTAGCACTCCTCCTTCATCAAGTTGGAGCATGCAAATGAACATGTCTCCTAATCGTGAGTTGCGCTTCTGATTGCTGCCCCCTAGTACTTCTCTGCGATCGTTCATAATTTTGCTCCAGTCTTTCACTATTAAGCATTCCTCGCTATTAAAAATCCTGAATGCACTAAAGTGCATTGTAGGATATCTTGGCCATAAGCTAACAATATTCATGGTACCTTTAGTCTCGATCCAATGAGG